GTAAGGGTTCTGTGTGTGTGTGTGTGTGTGTGTGTGTGTGTGTGTGTGTGTGTAATGGTAGCCTAAAATAGAAAGATTACATTTTAAAAATATTTTTTAATCACAATTTAAAAATAGTGTATGATTATTAATTTGATTTTCTAGCTATGTGTTTTTTGGCTCAGATCAGATCTCCCTTCGTTTGATTTTCTAGCTATGTGTTTTTTGGCTCGGATCAGATCTCCCTTCATTCTGGGACTAAAGAAGAGTGGTTTCTATTTGGCAAATTATTTACTTTGGAGGAAATTCAGCACCACAAGATAAGATCATTGATTTAGAGTTAGGAGGGTCATCCAATTAGATCTAATTTTACAGAGGAGGCCTAGAAAGGTAAAGTGACTTGTACAAGGTCATATGGGTAGAAAGTGACAGCATTAAGTGGATTTTGAGCCCAGTTCCTGTAACTACAGATTCAGGGCTATTTCTGCCAAACCAAGGATTTTAAATACTTGGCTTTATTGAAGACACCTCCTTGTGTCAGAACAAAATGGAAGCCTAGCTTTAGTCAATGGCCTCAAGAAAATGAGCTTCCAAGAAAACTGTAATCCTAAACCTGCAAAAGAAAGCTTTTATAATAAGTTCCCTTTTCTTGTCTTCCCCCAGGCCACATATGACACAGAAGACAAAAAAGATGAACATCAGAGTCTCTTACATCCATTGTCAACTTTAGGTTTCATTAAAATGTCATTCATTTGAGCTGCCTCTTGAGTAGTCTTTTAACAGAGGCCCTTTTTTCATATATTTGAAAATTTTTAGAGCTAATGATATCTTACAAGGCAATTGGGAATTAATTAAAGTTGTTATACTTTCTGAACTTCAGGTGAACCTTTTGTAGGGCTGTTACCTCATGAACCTCCCTTAGAATCACTATTTGGGGATGGGCTAATTATTCAATTTGGGCACCTGCAAGATCCTACTTTATAAGCTCCACAAATTTATATTCACCTGACTTGAGTATGACATTGAAAAGTAACTCTCTCTAAAGATAAATTATCTTGTTTCTTTCTGTTCTCCTAAATTATAAATATACCATTAGTTAAAGCTATATAATGGACAGCTTGCATCTGTGGCTTTAGATGTAGCATACTTTAGAAATCTCAAGAGGAAAATCTATTCTACAAAAGTTGGAGGGGGAAAAAAAACAGACCTTTGCTCATGCTGTTGTTCTTGTTGAATTGTTTCAATCATGTCTGACCCTTTGTTACCTTATTTCATTTTTTTTTTTTTGGCAAAGATGTAGAGGGTTTGCAGTTTCCTTCTCCAGCTCATTCTACAGATAAGGAACCGAGGCATGCCATTAAATGACTTCCCCAGGGTCACACAACTAGTATCTGAGGCCAGATCTGAACTCATGGAGTCTTTCTGACTGCAGACCTGGCACTCTATCCACTGTGCCACCTAGCTCAGGGCTTCTTAAACTTTTTCCACTCTTGACCTCTTTTCACATTTTGGCAATGGTCCTTGGAGTTGTGTGACCTCAGGGCACATGCAAAGTGCACATGCTGCATTCCAAACTGAGGGTGCAGTGAAGTTATTTGATGCAACACAGACAACTCCTGCCAGAAACACCTCAGATTTATTATTCATTTGATTTTGAATTAATGTTTGGTGATTGTACTTTCAGAAACCTTTTGCTATTGCCAAATTTTTCATGAAGATCATGACCTACAGTTTAAGAAGCACTGGATTCCTACTCATGATAGGTGTAGTTTTGCTTTCTGTGTTTTTGGCATGGGGAAAACATTCTGCCTCACCTAGCTCTTGCAAATAATAGTTGCAGATCCTATTAACTCTTGTAATCAAGTACTATTCCATCTGCTTTCTTGACTCTTCTCCTGGCCTTCATTATCCTTTCACAGGTAAATATCTAGGGGGGAAATATTTTCCCAAGCAGTATAATAGCTGTATTGATCTTTAAGCATGAGGGCCAAATCATCTATGTGTTCCATTTTTTCTGAATCCCAAAATTTCCTGACACATAGTAAGCACCCAATGAATAAATGAACGAATGGCTAAGGATGAAAAGCACATGAAGACTAGAAATAAACCCTTACAATCTAAATTGCCCATTATGAAAATATGAAAACTTCATTTTTATATTCTTCTCTAAAGAATTTACTTATTTTTCAGCGTAGCTTCTGTTTGTTCTCTTACCCTATGGTTCTACAGCCAACTAGCAGTTATTAAGAATGAATTATCAAGGTCCCTTGTTTTCCCTTATTCCTTCCTTTGCCCATTTTACTGTGTATTGCTCATTAGGTCTCTCACCTGACAACAGACTGGGGAAAGAAAAAACTCAATTCTACTACCTTCAGGACCTCACTCCAAAGGTATAACAGTAGCATTCTAACTGGTTTGCATGTTCTTCTATCCTGGTTAAATATTTTCCTTTATTTGTAGAACATTTTCATTGTTTTAGCACAATTTCTTTAATTTCTCTATATAAAAACACATGCATACATAAATGTATACATGTACATATACATATACATACATACATACATACATACATACGTATATAAATATAAAATTATACCTTCCACATCTCAGAGGTTATCTCATGGCTACCCTGTAGGTTAATAATGTTGACTGTGTTTAAATTGTGTACTTAGAAAGAATAAAATTTTACCCACAACTGAAGAAACTTTGAGCACATTATACCTATTGCATGTAAACTTCTTCAAGTTGTCCATTCTATCTGAAATTCTAATAGTCATTACACTCCAATTTAAAACCACTGATGTATTTTTGTCTTACTTATCTTTTACAATTGTTACTAGTTTCAGACACAATTCTGCTCAAATCAAACTTGCTATTGCTTCTCATTTCTATTTCTGACATTTTCCTCTGTTAGACCCCAGATGCTACTTCACTGGATAAGAGATAGCATTGATGGGGTGCTTGGGTGCTTGTGCTTGGACCCCAATTTCTCCCTAGTCTCAGAAGCACTATCCCTGACAGTTTTTCCCCAGCCCAAGGACACTGTGCTTAGCAATTACTCATGAGTGGGCCCCAGCAAGACCCTTATCTTTTTCCCTGGTGCAGTTCTAAACAGCACCTGAAGGAATTATTAGTTTGAACTGGTTTTGCACTGGGTCATAAAGACATTTTTACCCACTGGACTACCTATACTACTGCCCTACCTCATTATCTACATCATGGACTCCTCATTAACTGTATTCTAGACTTAAGACATATGTATACTCCTTACATCTATCTTGTCAAACAAGACATTGATTGGTGGAAGACTGGACAACTCTCAGTAGTCCCTGACTGCTAGTTAACTTAGCGATGTAGCAGGCCTAAAACCACACCTCCATGTGGCCCCCCTTGTGGGCTTTTCCTAGTGAACTCTGGGTGAAACAGCTGTGCAGTAGGTATAAGAAGTGCAAGTTCTTTTAAGAATTGACCACCCCTTAACTGCTCCCTAATTCCACCCTGAATCACCTAGTTAGCATATTTGGCACATGTTTTATTGTATTTTATCCTATATAAACTTTAACTGTACCCCTTTAAGATTGCAGGATCCTTAAAAATACTTGCCTGCTGAAAAGTGTAACTAAATCTTTGCCACCTTGACTTAAAGAATGCTTGAGTCTGTGAATTCATTCCAGATGACCCCATCGTGTACTTCAGTCTTTGAGGGGTCACAACCTGTCAACCTCTCATACCACAATAGCATTATGTAATGAATAGAAAGCCAGCCATGGAACCAGAGAGATTTGAATTCAAGGCCTGCCTCTGACAACTCGTGGTATGGCCCTGAGCAAGTCTTTTAATATTTCGTTTCTCTAGGCAACTCTCCAAGGCTATAAATTACAGAAAAGGTCCCATCCTATGTTGATTGGAGTTCAGTATTCTAGGAGTTCCCTATACCAATGAAATCACAGGTCCAATCATTATTCTCTTCCTCAGTTATGAAAAAATACATTTTTCTATAAAAGCCATGCCCTTTTCTCCATCCTTCAGACAACCTTATTAGGCATGAGGTTCTATGTGAATCACATTTCTGACCACCTTATCAGATGCGATATGATTATTCATATCTCCTTGGTTTTAATCCAGCCTAGTCTATTAAAGTGCCAATAAAATTAGTTTATGAGTAACTAATACAAGGAACACTGAAAGTCCTATTATCTATTTATATCAATTAATTCTAATTGTTTACTCTTTCATGTCTTGCTATGAAGAAAAACTCTAAATTTAGTTTGCATTTTTTCTCAAAAAATATTTATTGCCATGTAGAACAATATTTATGCTCTCATTACAGTTTTTTGCATGGAAATTTCTGGGTGATTTTCTCAAAAATTTAAATGAATCTCCCACCTGCTAATTAAGCAAAACAAACTGCAACAAAACAACAACAAAATAACTACTGTGGGACCACATGTTCTGGATGAATCAAAAGAATGGTAAACCCATGAGTTTCTAAAAGTTATAAGGAAAGAAAAAACAGGTTCCATTCTTTAAGATGTCTCAAGAGTCTCTTTGTCAGCAATAGAGTATATATATCTTTTGCCATCTTGTCCTTAACATTAACAGAAAAACAGACAAGCTAATAGGATAGGAAAATATAACAAATACTCTATTTTCTTGAAAATCTAAATTGTTCACATCAAACATACCTCCCTGTCTACTGAAAACAACCAAGGCATTAATTTATTTTCAAAGTTGCCCATTATGAAAATGTTTGTTTTCATTTCTATATTCTTCACTAAAGAGTTTGCTTATTTTTCAGCACACAGGACAGTAGTTTTGTTAAGATGTTTTCATGTTTAAAACAAAGTTCTGCTATTTCTTAATTTGACTATGCAAGATTAACAACTTCGACCCCTTGTAATGCAGGAAAAAGATTAGTTGATTCATAGAGATTATAAACATGTGGCATTCAGAGAAAAGGAACTTTAAAAAATTATTACATTGAATTTTGAAATCCATCATATATGTAATCCAAATTTTACCTTTGTGTTTGGGTCGCATAGCTGCTATCATAGGCCTCATAGCTCTGGTCATCATATTCACCTCCATAGCCATCATCATATCCCTAAAGAAGGGGGAAAAAAGAGAGAATTCAGCAAAAACCAATTTTCAGGAATTTGAAATTCCACATTAATGAGGTAATATAAGATGCCACCTGAGGGCTGATTTTTTTCTTTCCTTTTCCCTGTGATCACAGTACATACTATATTAGAATGGTAAGTGCATGTAATTTGCTGTAGAACTTCATGGATTAAATATTATAATTCTGGAAATTGTCTATTAATTAATAAAATCCAATTATGCATCAAAGAGTAGAAATGCACTTGTGGTTTGTCTAGAATTTTGAGCCATTGGGGTAGTTGGAACAATCTCTTGTTTGGGGATATAGTCTATTTTTGTCTCAAGCAGCCTCTGCTTTGGAGACAATTTCATTCCTTCCTGCTACTAATGCCTTGCTCAATCTCTAGAACACTATATCTTCTGTAACTGAAACATCCCTAGTTCCTAACTGATTGGCAACAGTTTGCTTGTAGCATCAGAGATGAGGTTCTCCTAGGGGTTAGACTAGATGATCTTTAAGATCCATTCTGGCTCTAATCTATGATTCTGTTATCTTCTCATCCAAGTATGACTCTATCCATCCCTATCAAGCCTGGAGTCTTATTAATCATGTTGGTTGTGAGCCTTTAGTTTAGGATAGCACAGGAAACCCATGCTAAAGAATGAAAGGGATTGTCAAGTGGAAGAGGAATTTAATTTGTCCTAGGTTTTTTTTTTTATGTTTGTTTTGTTCTGTTTTGGTTTGGTTGGTTTCTTGGTTTGCTTCGCTAGAGGGGAACTGAAAGCAGTGGCTGGAAGCTTTAAGAAACAAATTTGAGTTAGAAATCAGAAAAAAAAATCCATTTATTAGAGCTTTCCAAAAGTAGAATTGCCTCAGAAGAGAATAGGTTTCTCCTCATTAGAGATCTTTAAGCAAAGGCTAGATAACAACTTATCATTTGAGCAATAGTGTTTTGTTTTGTTTTCCCCAGGCATAGTCTGGAATAGCTAAATCTCCAACTGTGAAGACCCTGGAATAAAAAGGGTGCCAGGATGGAAAGGTGCCTCTCTCCTGGAACTTGATGTTCTTCTTCTGCTAAGATAATTACACCCAAGATCAGGATAGTGTTTATAATACACCCCCACCCCCCCGTTGCTCTGTCCTTTTCTGTCAGGTGACAATGATACTAATGTTCTTGTCCTCATCTTTATTTCTTCCACTCCTTGCTCCGCCTCAGCCCAGATGTCTAAAGTGAAGCGTCTTTCCCTGTGTGAGGTAAAATGTACCAACATTGGTGATTCTGCTTCTAGTGTGAAAATCTCTAAAACTTCTCAAAGTGGCAGCAATGGTCTGAAATACCTGTACTAATATAATAGTGATTTTGCGAATGCAAAGGATATGTTCTTTTATTAACATATATGAGTGACTAGCAATCAGTAAGATGAGCAAATGGCCATTGTTCAATCATTCAGTTGTGTCTGACTGTTCACGACCCCATGGACCATAGCGACCAGGCCCTTCTAGTGGAGAACTACTATCTCCTCAAGTCTGTCCGAACTCATGTTCATTGCTTTCATAACACTACCCATTTCATCCCTTTCCATTCCCTTTTCCTTTTGCTTTCAATCTTTCCCAACATCAGGGACTTTTCCAATGAGTTCTGTATTTCCATTATGTGGCCAAAGTATTTAAGCTTCAGCTTTAGTATCTGTCCTTCCAATAAACAATCTGAATTTAACAAATGTATATAATCATATTTATCCCATAGCATCATTAAGAATATTGGGATTGAGTATGAAGGCATAATGGTTAGTTATTCTAAAATGTGGTCAAGGCTCAGGAAAGAAGACAAAATCATCTCTGTAAATAATCACTGAAATAAATGAAGAACTTTCATGTTTTGCATATTCTAGTATTGAGGCTTTCAAAGGGTGCACTGAAGCCCTAATATATTATGAGTTTTGCTAGGTGTTTCATGAAAATTTGCTCTCTACATATCCATTTCAAACTTCATAAATTGTACATCACTCACATTAGCCTCCTCTATAAATTCAGTTCCTATGGAGCTTGTAATTACTGCTATGAACCATCAGAATCCAGAGAGGGTTCTGGGAAGATGGTGGAGTAGGTTAGAAAATTTCAAGCACTCAATATTTTCCTCCACAAAAGAGATAAAATAGCACCTCTGAGCGAACATATAGCTGTGAAAACAAGTAAGAGTAGGGGCAGAACAGGGGGTCCTCTTTGGACAACTGGAGAAGATCTGAAGAAAAATTCCAGGAAGAGATTTCCTCTGGGTGAAGAGTAAACACCTTCAGGCTAAGGTCTGCTTTAACAACAAACAGCAAGTTGCTTAAACAAGCAGCAGGAAGCCCTGGGGTTGGCTGGTTTGGAAGGCTGCCTCAGCCCAGAAACAGGAACTTTTACCCCCAGAACTGTGAATGGAGTTGGGCATTGGACCTGGGGAAGATCTAGGGAACCTCTGCTGACAAGGAACACCAGACCCAACTGTGCTGTGGAGATGCAGTTGGGAGTGAGAAGGAACTAGCACATGTTGGCTGAGTACAGAAGCAGTGGAGTTGGACACTGCTAGCTATAGGCACTTATAGAAGGCTGGAGGTCTTAGTCTGAGTTCAAGGCCAGAAGGGAAAACTGAAGAGGATCAGAGACCTGAGGCACCAACCCCCATACCCCAGGATTGGAGGTGATTATAAAAACTAAGTTATTTCAAAAAAAAAAAAACTGCACAGGCAAAGGAGAAAGAATCCAACTGATGAGAAAAAAAATGCTTGAGGGACATGGAGCAAGCAGTACGTGACCAGAATCTTAAGGAAGAAAATGCCTCCTTGAAAATTAGAACTGGGAAAGGTGAAGCCAGCAAAGTTATAAGAGAGGAAGAAATAAAAAAAAATATATAAAGAATGAAAAAATAGAACAGAATATGAAACACCTCATAAGAAAAACAATGGAACTAGAGAACAGATGAAGAAGAGAAAACATAAGAATAATTAGACTACCTAAAAATTCTGATCAAAAAAAAGAATCGATACAATAATACAAAAAATAATTAAAGAAAATCGCCTTAAAGCATTAGAACAAGAGGGGAAAGTGTAAATAGAAAAAATCCACTAATCACTACGTGAAAGAGATCCTATGAGGAAAACTCGTAGGAATATTATAGTCAAATTTTGAAACCTCCAGATGACAGATAAAATACTACGAGTAACAACCAAAAAGGTAAACAATTTACATATGGTGGTACCACAATTAGAACTACATAAGACTTAGCACTGGTGACATTAAAAGATTGTAGGTCTTGGAACACCATAGAAAGAAGAGCAGAAGAACTGGGCTTCTGGCTGAAAATATCATTCATACCCAGCAAAGCTAAGCATAATTCTCAATAAAAAAAAATGGACATTTGATCAATTGTCAGACTTTCAGGACCTTGTTAAAAAAACAAAATAAAACAAAACAAAACAAAAAAACCCTGAACTCAATAGAAAATTTGACATACAAGAGCCAAGAGAAATATAAGGTACATACCAATGACCAATTATAAGGGACTAATTAAGGTTAGAATGTTTGATTTTATGTATGGGAAATGTAAAACTTACATCTAAGATTGTTACTAGTAATTAGGTAACTTGTATAAAAGACTGGGGTAGACTTAAGTATGATATAATTTCAAAAAGTAAAACCATTCAAGAACAGCTAAAAAAGTAATTATCTTTTACAAATGAGGTGCAAGAGGAAGAACCAACACAGAGGAATTAGATGGGGAATGGGGGCTGTTAGTTCTGGAAACCCACTTTCATCAAGAATGGGTTTAAGAGGGGAAAATACATATACATTTACACGAGTACAAAAGTCTTCTAAATTCAGAAAGAAATAAAACTGTAAGGGAATGGGGTGGGGAGGATAAAGGAGGGATCTTTAGAAGGAATAGGTTAAAAGGGGTTATAGAAGCATGGTTAGATTTAGTGGAATGGGAGAGTGAGGGAGGGATTGCTGGAGTGGAGGTAGGATAAGTAATATGAGGGTAAGGTAGTAGGTAGAAGTAAAGTAGAAGAGTTAGGAGGGATAGACTAAAAGAGATATGCCCAAAACTAAAAACAAAGAGTAGGAGTAGAATCTCTTAGGGAAAGGATACATTTATATATGTATGTATGCATGTATACATATGTATATGTGTATACATATATCAAGACCTATATAGAAATATATCCATGCTCAATTATAGCCTTGGGGTAGCAGGTAGGGAGGAGGAAGGGGGAAAAAGAACAAATTAAAAAGTGTACAGCAGAGAACAAAAGAAAGCCTATAAGGAAGCAAAGAAAAGATAGATAGATTTCAACACAATGCACAGTTTTTAATATATAGGCTTTCTTGAAATGAGGTGTTATTGCTATATATTTTGAATCCTCTCCCATGTTCTGCTATGCACATGACTTTTTTTCTTTTCTTATTTTATATTTAAGTTTAATAATTAAGTTTATAATATTTCTTTCTCTTTTCTTATTATGCATTTAAATTTTAGCATTTGTCTAAAATAAACACACACACACACACCCCACCATCAAAATCCCTCCCCCCCAGAAAATGCCTTCCTCAATTATAAGAGGTTCATTAAAAAAAGAAAGACTTTCTGTGACTTAAGTAATTTTGACTATTATAAATATATAAATTAAAAATAAAGGATATATGAAGAGAGACACTGTGTACATCCAGAGAAAGAACTGATGAATATTACGTACAGAATAATTTTACATATTATGTGTGTGTGTATGTGTGTATCTAATGGTAGCCATCTCTAGGGTGAGGGGGAGGGGAAGAAAAGGAGTAAAAAAGAAATTTACGTGATAACTTTGTTGTATATTTGGAGGGAATAGCAAGTTGTACATAGTAGAATTACAGTTTTATGTGCGATTGCCTTTTTTATTGTACTGTTATGGAAATGTTTGTTTTGTTCTGTGAATTGAAAATAAAATAAATTTTGAAAAAGAAGAAAAAAAGGTTCACAG